TTTTGAACACTATTTTTATTTTTATTTTTTACTGACAACTGTCAAGGAACCCTTGCATTGCAACTTCATGATGCAATCAACTGAAGGCTTCAGGACCTTGGGAGAACTCCTTCAGTGGACTCTTCCAACATCCTTTTAAAAGTGTCCACATCACCAGGGATAATAGTTCGTGATGGGTGGGGGGTAAAAGATAGTGGTGGAGAGTTGGTTAACTTGGAGAGGAGCGTTAAGGTAAACTAGGGGTAAGAAGAAATATGCAAAGGAACTCCAATTTTCTAGGTTGCAAATATATATAAAACTAATAATAACTAGGCATAAATTAAAAACAAATTAAGGCAGGGCTCGACAAATCCCAGAAGCCAGGTCGCCAAGGCAACCAGAAACCACATCCTGGTGCCTGGGCCCCCGCCAGCCCACACTGTCCCATGCTCCCCCACCCCGTGTCCTCGGCCAGCTCCTCTCCACTGTCCCATGAAGTGGAGCCCCGCCCAGTGTGTCAGGATCCCCACAGCACCCCTCTGTCCCTCCCCATTCACAGAGTCCAAGCAGAGCCCCCCAGTGCACACCTGTCTCGAGCAAAGAACCCCCTAAACAGACCCACAAAAGCAAGCCCCCACAGGCCTGCCCCCCCCACCACACAAATTTGTCAAGCACTGAATCAAGGTAAGAGAGCATGTCTTGACTTTGTGAACCAGAGCCATTTACTATATCTGAATCACTAAAATTCAGTGTAGATGATTTTAGATCGTCGGTGAAAATATAAACCCAGGAACCTGCATTCACTATATCTGGTCTCCCACAGTACACAGAACTGCAATTATTTTAGTAAATATAAACTGCTAAATACCTTTTCTCATAAGCAGTTTAGAGCAGTCTTCTGACTTCTATCAGTGTCCAGCTGAGTACTGGTTAAAGCTTGCAGGAGGAGTTTTCATTTCTCCTCTGACTGTCCTATGAGACTGCATAACCTGACCCTCTGTCTGGACAGCGTTGTATGGCACCGAGATGATCACATGCATTCTCCCAAGGAAAAAAAAAAACAAAACTCTCTAGCAATACAAACTGAGCATGTGCAGCTTGTACCAAAGGCTCTGTTCCATCAGCAGATGGATTGGGGACAGTAGAAGAAGGGGATGATCAGAGAAGACAGGACCAAACAGCCTTTTTACACAAAGTGGAGGATTAACTCCTTAGGTTCCACAGTGAGTATAACAAGCACGCATTACTGCATATACAGACTGCTTTTCCGGATGTGGGTTCAGTAACACTCTAATGTTCACATTCAAAGTCAATTTTCACTGATCTTAATGAGTGAAGTGAAAGAAAGTAAAAATTAACTTTGTAAAGAATACCCAGTTGTGCATAGGAAAAAAAATAGCTTATTGAATGACATAAGCTTAGTAAATGACATGTTTGCTGACTTCAATCATTCGAATGAATATATATATATTTTTTTTTTTTTTTAATGCATTTTATTTTTTTTTCCCCTTTATATTTTTTTCTTGCAAACAATTAGAAAGTTTTTTCAAAACAATGCCTCCTAAAAACTGACCACAGTTCATAATTTTGGGTCACATATATCATACAGGTTTTTGTCCCTTTGTATGAAAACCCAATAAAATGATAAAGGGTAGGGCCATAATTTCACCAAAGTCAACAGTACTATTATTCATCCCAGGCATAGGAAGGCTTTTAACAGCCAATTACACATACAAGACTAAGAGGCAGCAATGGTCACCGAATGATTCTTTGTACCAGAAGTGTCAGGTAGCGCTCTAGGATTCATTATGCTATTCCCAGAGCTCATCAAGAGTCAAGAAAGCCTGAAGATTCTTATAGCCCCGCACAGATATTATTCTCTGCACTTAATTGTTATGGTGTTCGTTCCAATCACAGTGTCTAAAATCATTTTCACAAGTTCAAGTTTAACTCGCATACTTTCTAACATTGCTATATGGAGATCGTAAGTAATTATTCACTTGAGCTGAAAGTCCCACTTTTTCCAACACTCAAGTGTGAGATTAGCTGGTGATTACAAGTCCAAGGTTGCACATGGTTTTGAATTACGAACACAATGTAATATCATTTGAGTTATGTTTGTCTGTGGCCCTATAAATTTTTGCCATGTGTTGAAAGAGTGCAGTTGTGTCATTAGCATTTTAAGTATCAAGCCAGAAATGTCTTGTATCAGGTTCCATTTTAATTGGTCTGTGAACCCATTGCAGTGTCAGTGGTGCAAAACAAAAGCAATTTCTATGCAAATGTGTTTCCTGGGCTAGAGAGCCACTAATAACCATACCCCCTTGTTAAATCATTTGAAGAACAGCTAAGGATTTGATTATTCATGGGAATCTACAAATGGAAAATCATTACAATTTAAACACAATTTCTAATCACTCTTTGAAATAGAACTTTAACTGACATGATTTATAAGAAAAAACACAGGCACCTAAATGAAAAAATCCCTTGGACACAACCTAATTAGGCAGTTTCCCATAATTAAGACGTCAAGTCTGCACTCGGTAATGTACTACTTGATTTTTTGGGGGTCTTGTGAACCATAAAGTCTTATTCCAGAATCAACACTTAGGTCAAAAACACTGTACATTGCATCACTCAGAAGCTCTGTATCACCAAGCACACAACAGGGCCATAAAAATGAACCGCTACACATTACAATGAAAAGTTTGACTTCAGCAGAACTGGAACTATGACAATATTGTCATCTGTTATACAAGGCCAACAAAATGCCTGAATGATGAATTCCAGCAATGACTAATACATCCCAATAGTATCTGGAGACTACAGCTGTGTGAGGCTTACTCTTGGATTAGGACCTCATATATTTTACATATACCATAATGTAAAGTTCGGTATAGATTTCTTTCAATAGAACACATGCAAATACAAGAAAGTGCATAAAAACATGGCTCTAAGGGTTTTTGTACTGGACAGAGGACACGTACAATCAGAACACAATTACAAAATGAGACACCCACTTGGTGACATGCCCAGCCTCTCCATTTTATCTGATCGGGTGACTTTTTTTTTATACCAAATACACCATTTCCTGATTGGTCTTGGGATCTGTCCAGCTCTGGTTAAAAACAATGTTCTGGATCTGAACACAAAGTCCAGTGTTTGTCGACCTGTTAATTTACAAATCACACAATTAAGCCAGCCAAAGACGGAGCAATTTTCTTTCCTGTAACCATAGTTTGCAGAAAAGAAACATCGTTTGATTTCCCCCCATCAACACACAGTCCATGTTGATGGGTGAATCCCTCCTGCAGATTGTGTTGTCCCCAGCGGGGGTAGCCGTCTCTGCCGGGAGAGCACAGTGATTACTGCTAGCGGCTACAACAACAGGGGACGTGAGGTAGAGGACATGACCTGCTTGGAGGTGTGTTTAGGTTGTGGTGTGATAGTAGACATTCTTGTGAATTCTCTGCAAGATGGATTTCTATACTTTGATCTCTATGACACTTGGCTGGGTCCAGCTCAAGATGATCATGGAAAGAACAGCAGAAAAAGAGAAGGGTGCTGTGCTGGTATTGGGTGCACTCCATACCTACGCAAGGAATTTCCAAGGAGCATTTCAATACCCTTTACCATGAATTGCCGGCGTACCCCAAAAGTTCTTGGATTATACCCACATGAAGGTGTCGATGTATAATGCGGTTCTTGAGATTGTTAGATCCCCACTGAAGTGAGCCGCAACTGGTATGAGGAATCCTGTGCCATCAAAAGAATGGCTCCTTTTAACTTTATGATAAGCCATATCTAATTATTCTCCTTCTTGCCATTTCTAAAGACAATTACCCCATCAAGTTCCCCTACTTTGTGACTAGTAGTGAGTGGATTCCATAGCTCAGGGGTGGTCCAACCTGTGGTGCAAGACGGCTGTGAATGCGGCCCAACACAAAATCTTAAAATTATTTTAAAATGTTTTTTTTTTTTCAATTTTTTTTGGAAAAATGCATTTACACTTTGCAAAAGCATGCGGCTGAAGAAAAATTTGACAGTGTCTTTTTACTGGACTTTTTAAGTTTTATCTTCCCAAAGAAAAAAAATCCCACTCTTCATAATCATGCCTTATTCATGTTAGCAGTTTTGGGCAGCACCTATATTTGTGAGCAACTATTTATCTACCAACACCTGCTGGCAAGGTCACTCGCTGGCACCGACTCTGCCACTGCCAATAATTCTCAGCACCTCTGCTCCTGCTTGGCACTGTCAGTATTGGAAGCTGGAGCTGCTCTACCCTAGTTCTCTAAAATGTTCAGCGTATTCTGGAATACAAGAACCTCCACTGCCTCTACCCCAGCACCCAACCCAAAACGTCATAAATGCTTCACTTAGCTGACAAAATGCTACAGGTGAAGTTAAACTGCAGGTATGGTGTGCTATCATAGAAAGTAATGAAGGCGGCTTGTGAGTGAAAGCAATATGTTGCTTTACTTGTAACAGAATGCTACCACAACTGAAGGTATTGCCCTGGAAAGGAGGTTTTGAGGCTTTAAATTGCCATTTAAACACAGAGTATTGACACACGTGTGATTGAGCCCTTAAAGTGATGTCAACCAAGAACCTGTTCAGATTTCAGTTGCTCTTAATTTTCTATGAACTGTGAGCAGCTTTTAAACCAAAATTATTTGAGTTAAACGTCCTTTGTGCAAAAAGAAACACGGCTCCCCTCATAGCCCATATTTTTTTCTCATCCATCACCAATATTAACAGCCTACTAAACCCCTACTTAAGCAGATACAGACTAGGAACATTTAAAGTGTATGTAAACCCAATAACAAAAATGTAATATATAGCAGCTTGCCAGTCTATAGATGTCATAATTGAATTTGTTTCCTATTCTCAGGCCGAGAACATTTTTAACAAAGTAGAGAAATAACTGCTAATCTTACCTTGTCACTTAAGATGGCAAACACAAGGTTATCTCTCTTTTGTAAACCGCTATTAAAGTGTTACTAAACCCAGGACCCTGCATTCACTATATCTGGTCTCCCACAAACCACACAACATGGAAATGCAATTATTTTAGTAAATATAAACTGCTAAATACCTTTTCTCATCTGCAGTATATAGCAGTCTTGTGACTTCTATCAGTGTCAAGCAGAGCACTGGTTAAAGCTTGTAGCTTTAATTCCCCAACTGTCCTATGAGGCTGCATAACACCTGACCTTCTGTCTGGACAGCGCTGATTGGCCCTGTGCTGATCACATGCACTCTCGCGATAAAAAAAAAACAAAAAAAAAACCGCTCTAGCCATACATACCAAACTGAGCATGTGCAGCCTGTGCCCAAGGCTTGTTTCTATCAGCAGATGGATTGGGGACAGTAGAAGAAGGGGAGGATCAGAGAAGACAGGATCAAACAGCATTTTTACACAATGTGGAGGATTAACCCCCTTCCACAGCGAGTATAACACAAGCATACTTTACTGCATATACAGACTGATTTTACGGTTGTGAGTTTAGTAACACTTTATTATTAATTCACCATGCCATCATGGCTCCTTCCATAGATACCCTGAAGAAGGGACAGGAAAGTGTAAAAGGAAAGTGACAAAGGGACAGAAAGTGTGGCACTTGAAGTACAACCGGGAGAAAATAAAGGAAAAAAAAACTTGAAAAAAGGAAAACTAACGCAGTCACAACATCTAAGGACTGGTAAGCTGCAACAAATCCCATTTTGTTTTTGGATTTAGATACGTTTTAAGTGATAAGAGAAAGCATGTGTGTTAAGCTTGGTGTTGCATTATTGGCCATTTGTGTTTCTTCATAAAAAGAGCCAATTACCACCCTGATTAAATCATAACAAAGAAATGTCATGGTCACATACTGTATGGGTATTTAAAACAACGTGAATGGGTTTTCCTATTGTTCAAATGTCAATATTCCCACACAAAGCCACGGCAAACATAATGTTTTAATAGAAGAAAACCCTTTCTCATCAGCTGCAAATCACTGCTCAATGGGCCATGTGATTGGAATATTAAAGACAAGGAGAAAGGCATAGCGCATTTATAGAATTAGACAATTGGCATGGCTGCTTGATAAGGTTGTTGCATGCAACTCATGTAGCTGGTACAAGTGGCATCTGGGGATTACTCGCTTTCTCTCTCGCACAAGGCACCGACAAATTAGCATGCCGTCCTCAAGCTTATCCTACTAATCACCTATTGGATGCTTGGCTACAGTTCGGGATATGGATCACACATTCATTTGTTCTGTTAATGGACTGGCAGAATTCCGAATCAGTGAATCGGATGGTTTGTTCATACCAGTAAACATATTTAAAAATCCAAATAAAGAGGAATGTTTAACCGCTTACGCGCCACCCTATAGAAGAAATACTGCTACAGGGCAGCATAGGTGCACAAAATCATGTATATATACACGTGATTTTGCAGTTCCGGGTAGGGGGCATGCGCAAGCCCTACCCGCGCCACCATTTGCGGCCTCGGCTGTCAACCACCGGATCCTGGCCTGTAATTCCACCCGGCAAGCTTCGAGGATTTCTGATGGGGGAGAGACCAGTATGTAAACAATAGAAATCTTAATTCATTAATAAAAATGAAGCAGTTTCTGAGATCACATTACATGTTTTTCTGCTCACCAAGTACCACACATTGGTTTTATAGTAAAGGTACCAGACACCACGTGCAACTTACGGACCATCATGAATCTCTATTAAAACACCCACACAAAAGAGTAACTAAACCCGCTAAATTAAAAAAAAAAAAGGAATGACAAGAACATTACTTGGGTAAGGCATCCAAATTTGCAAAGAGCTGTTTTACAATTATAGTATTTGGACTACTGCAATCACAGCTACAGTATCAATAAACCTATGAACAAAAGAACAAGGAAGCCAGAGAACACACAAAACACAAATAACATGCATTTATCAGAACAAACTGGATCCCTATTCATCTTCATTTTTTAACCCAGCTGAGGGTTAGAATAGAAACACGAGGCCTACACGTGGCTTAAAAAACATCAGTTTGACAAATCTATTCTATAGTAAGCTAGTCATTAAAGAGTATGCAAACCACCACAATTTGTCTATTTGCTCCTTTTTGATCTGTTAGCCCTGGTTCACAGTGATGCGGGGCAGAGTTTGCAGCGTTTTCTATGAAAATTCCGCACCGCATCAGAATTGCGCCCTGTTCATGCGAACCACTGTGTATGTTAAGTTAACAAAACCCCGAAGGCAGTCCACAAAATGCGGTGCGATGTGCAGAATCTGATTGTATAGGTGTGAATACCCATGCGATCTGATTCTCGTGTGGACCAAAAAAAAAGGGTCCTGCACCTTTTTGGTGTGGGTGCGGTGCGATTAGAGCCATACAAAATGCACGGCTCCGATTGCATCGCACACAAACCGCATGTGATTTGCACAGGAATGCGGTGCGGTTCTTGTGTGAATCACATGCGATATACCGCACCGCATATATGTGAACCCAGGCTGAAAAATACACCAATGAGCCATAACATTATGACCACCCACCTAAAATTGAGCAGTTTACCCTTTGCTGCAAAAACAGCCCTGACCTGTCGAGGCCACCAGACCTCTGGAAATATGATGTGGTATCAGCTACCAAGCTTTCAGTAACAGATCCTTTAACTCCTGTAAGTTGCAGGACGAGGCCTCCAAGAATCAGATTTGTTTTTCCAGCACATATGCTCAACTGAGATGATAACTTGGGATCCATATTTTCCAGATCTCAATCCAAAGTCATTGTTGTGTTCCTCAAACCATTCTTGAACCATCTTTGCAGTAATGGAAGGGTGCATTAGAGGCCACTGCCACCAGGGAATACTGCTTTTTATGAAGGGGTGTACTTGGTGTCCAACAATATTTGGGTAGGTGGTATGTGTCAAGTGACACCCACATGAATTGTAGGATCCAAGGTTTTACAGCAGAACATGAACCAAAGCATCACACTGACTCTGCTGGCTTGTCTTCTTCCCATACCGGGCCACCTTCTTCCATTGCTCTGTGCTTCAGTTCTGATGACAACATGCCTATTGTAAGCATTTTTGGCTGTGGACGCGGGCCAGCATGGGCATCCTTGACAGGTATGTGGCTGTATGTGGCTACACAGCATCATACACAGCAAACTGTGATTCCCACCTTTTCTGCTTTCAAATGATCAACTTCTGGGACGTTTACTTGCTGCCCAATATATCCCGCTTACTTTCAGATGCCATTGTAACAAGATAATAATCACAATTATGACAAATCACGGCTTGAACTATCTTGCTTTGCATGTTATGAGTCTATCTCATATTAGTTTCACCTTTTAAGTTGCATTACTGAAATAAATGAACTTTTGCACGATATTCTAATTTTTCGAGTTTCACCTGTATATTTATTTAGGTTATTGCATATATTGAGCTCACCTTATCAATTTTCTCTATTATAGTATGGTATAGTTCTAATGTATGCTCAATTACACTTTGTAATCTTCCTCTAATGTTGGATCCCAATTAAAACAATATAGATAAGTATCCGACTTTGAGGCGACTTTCATTAAAGTTTATGGGCACAAGTTGGATAGAAGTCACCTTGAAGTAGTACAGGAACCTTTTCTAAAGTCAGAGCGACTTCAGTAGTGCTAATTAAGACAGTTTTCATTGACTAACATTGGATTTCACATGTCATGTGACTTGGGGGTCTCAGAAGTCAGAACCCAAGTCACGGCAGAGTGAAAAGAGCCTAAACTAGGACCGTTTACTGCAAAATAAGATGTGATGCTTTTTAAAAAAATAATTACTGACCTGATCATTCACTCTGCAACTCTAAATTCTTCTAAGTCATATTAACTGAGACTGTACATAGCATGCCAAAGGAAGATCCACTACCTCCTTTTACAGACAAGCTATTAAAGTGGAAGTAAACCCACTTTGCATATTTTTGCTTACAATAAAGCTTACCTGTAGGTAAAATGAATATCTCCTAAACGTGCACCATTCAGGACACATTCTAGGTTTTTTGCAGACGCCGCGTGCCGTTCCTTCAGAGCTCTGTGCTGTGTCTTGAGTCTCCCATGCGCATGTGTGGGAGTGATGTCATCGCAACCCAGCCAGTCAGATGGCCGGAGCTCGCGAATCTTGAAGGAAGACCGGGTAAAGATGGAAGACTCCATAGCGGTGACAGAACGCTGCTGGAGGGCTTCATTTTAGGTTAAGTTTTGCATTATGTGCTAGTATGTGGTGGATGGTTTACTACTGCTTTAAGTAAGTTACCTTCCATTTGTGGACTAAACAACCTGGGAAATATGCCTTTTTAATAGAGCTGACATTTAGTCAATTTTCTTTTTCTATTGCACCGTGGACAAAACTTACCTTCAACAAAGTAGGTCCTACGTCCTGCTGTAGAATTCCACTCCTTCACCAACGTCAGCTCCTCCTCACAGCTTCTGGCACTGCATGGGTTAAGAACAGCCAATATGGCTATGAAAGTCTCCTGAAGACCACAATCCCCCTTCCTCCATTAAGAAAACTCCTTGTATTGTTTTCACAGAATGCAATGTGTTCTGTGGGTGGGGAAAAGGATCCTGTCATTTATCTGCTTCTCCCTCATTCACAGAATGTGTTGCATTCAATAATGCAAGGAGTTTTCTTGATGGCAGGGGGGGGGGGGAGGGGGGGGGGAGGACAGCCATGGGGACACTTTCACAGCCACAGATGCCGCTTTTAACCCTTGCAATGCTGGAGGATGCAACATCAGGGAAGGGAGGATTTCTAGATGTAACCAGCAGGACATATGACACCCTTCATTAGAGGTACATTATATGTCCCTGGTGCAGTATACAAAAAAAAATTATCTAAACATCCGCATTAATTTAGAACTGCTCTTCCAGTAAGTTCCAAAGCATTCTCCATAAACACTTTGATCAGTCCAATTACCTAGATTGCAATGAACAGCAGGTAAGCCCTAGTTTCCCTAATAAAATTAGCTGCATGTATGTGTCTGTATTAGTCTTTCTTTATGTCAAGCAGCATCTGCAGGTTGCGGCTCCTATTGTGCAATGCATATAATGAACTTGTATAACCCTGTGCTGTCTGGAATTTATAATGCAGTTATATATGACTCCATGTCAGGTAGTCTATTCTTCCTAGCAGTATGAACTCAAGAAAAAAAAAAAAAAATTCTATATATAATTTGTACAGTATGTGCAATGATATATGATATATATATATATATATATATATATATATATATATATATATATATATATATATATCTCTCTATCTATCTCATTGCACATAACTGTACAAATTACAATCCTCCATTTGGAAAACTATTGCAAACCCCCCCCCCCCCCCCCCCCCGAAAATAATGCTGAGCTCTCAGGCACCTGCACTAAACAACGTTAAGCTCAATGCATGGCCAATTTGCTCCTACACCAGCTGTGTCTACAAATGTCTTTATTTAGTACAGACAAGTCATATTGCAAAAAGTGGTC